ACCGTGATATGCCTGGTCGTTCACATGATTACACTCACGCACATACACACTAACACCTACACGACACGACACACATACACGTGATCTTTAAACATCATGAACGTCTTTCTAAGAATATTTTGTCATTCTGGAATTATATTTGTTTCTGGAAATAAAATAATAAAGTATCAGTGTGTGTCTCTCTCTCCGTCCTGTAATTAACAAATGCCAGAGGTAACATTTTCCTTTCTTTCTGCCTGCCGAAATACCCGTCTTCTTATTTACGTAAACACCAACACCATCACCACTACAACACACCACACCACCACAACACACCATCACCACCACAACACCACTACAACACACCATCACAACACACCATCACCACCACAACACCACACCACCACTACAACACCATCACCACCACAACACCATCACCACCACAACACACCATCACCACCACTACAACACCATCACAACACACCACCACACAACACACCACCACCACCCACAACACCACCACAACACACCACCACCACACAACACCACCACTACCCCTCACCACCACAACACACCATCACCACAACACCACACACCACCACACCACAACACTCACCACCACAACACACCATCACCACCACAACACACCACTCACCACACCACACCACCACACCACCACCACAACACACCATCACCACCACAACACCATCACCACACCAACACACCATCACCACCACAACACACCATCACCACCACAACACACCATCACCACCACAACACACCATCACCACTACAACACACCATCACCACAACACCACACCATCCACCCACAACCCAACCACCACAACACACCATCACCACCACAACACACCATCACACTACAACACACCATCACCACCACAACACACCACCACACAACACACACACACAACACACCATCACCACCACAACACCACACCACCACCACAACACCATCACCACACCACACCATCACCACCACAACACACCATCACCACCACAACACACCATCACCACCACAACACCATCACCACTACAACACACCATCACCACAACACACCATCACCACCACAACACACCATCACACAACACACCATCACCACCACAACACACCATCACCACTACAACACACCATCACCACCACAACACACCATCACCACACAACACACCACCACTACAACACACACCACCACCACAACACACCATCACCACACAACCATCACCACCACAACACACCATCACACAACACCACACCACCACCACAACACACCATCACCACCACAACACACCATCACCACACAACACACCATCACCACCACCATCACCACCACAACACACCATCACCACTACAACACACCATCACCACAACACCACACCATCACCACCACAACACACCATCACCACCACAACACCATCACCACCACAACACACCATCACCACTACAACACACCATCACCACCACAACACACCACCACCACAACACACCATTACCACCACAACACACACCACCACCATACACCACCACCACAACACACCACCACCACAACACACCATCACCACCACAACACACCATCACCACCACACACACCATCACACCACAACACACCATCACCACCACAACACACCATCACCACCACAACACACCATCACCACCACAACACACCATCACCACCACAACACACCATCACCACCACAACACACCATCACCACCACAACACCATCACCACCACAACACCACCACCACAACACACCATCACCACCACAACACAACCACCACCACAACACACCATCACCACCACACACACCATCACCACCACAACACACCATCACCACCACAACACACCATCACCACCACAACACACCATCACCACCACAACACACCATCACCACCACAACACCATCACCACCACAACACACCATCACACCACAACACACCATCACCACCAACACACCATCACCACCACAACACACCATCACCACCACAACACACCATCACCACCACAACACACCATCACCACCACAACACACCATCACCACCCACACCACACCACCACCACAACACACCATCACCACCACAACACACCATCACCACAACACACCATCACCACCACAACACATCACCACCACACAACACACCATCACCACAACACACCATCACCACCAAACACACCATCACCACAACACACCATCACCACCACACCACACCACCACCACAACACACCATCACCACCACAACACACCATCACCACCACAACACACCATCACCACCACAACACACCATCACCACAGGAGGCGGTGCTGGGTATGGGATACCTGCTGGTATTTGGCCACGTGTTCACCCCTGACCCCCCCACTTCATTCTCCCTCCTCCTTCCTCTCTTCCTTACTCACTTCTTCACCCTTCTCTCTCCTCCCTCTCTCCTCTTCCCCTTTCTCTCTGCCCCTCTTTATTCTCCCTCCCTCTCTTCCCTCCTCCCCCAACCATGACAAAAGATTCTCAAGTGACTATGAACCTTTGTGATGTAAGAATGAATGTAGTGTTGACAAGGTTAATTTAGATTCTTCTTTGACTCTCGGGTATGGAGTAACACACACACACACACACACACACACACACACACACACACACACACACACACACACACACACACACACACACACACACACACACACACACACACACACAGCTTAATTTGTTATAGTTTTATGGCCAGTTGGAGGACGTCTGTGGCCAGCTGTGTTGGCAGCCAGCTGAGAAGGTATTTGAAGTCATCATCTCTAATGTCGTGTGTGTGTGTGTGTGTGTGTGTGTGTGTGGAGAGAGGACCACAACACTACCTTGAGGCAACTCACAACAAAGACAAGACAGACCAGACAGACATTCACTAGTGGCTGTCCTCTGTACCTGCCATCACGACGTCTACCCCCTCACCCCTCCCCCCCCTTTCTACTCCATCAGGTACCGACATCCTCCTCCTCAATGAACCAAGTTAACCTCTTCCTCCCCCCACCTCCTCGTCTTCTTCCTCCACTTCGTCGTCTTCCTCCACCTCCTCGTCTTCCCACCTCCTCGTCTTCCTCCACCTCCTCATCTTCCCCACCTCCTCGTCTTCCTCCACCTCCTCGTCTTCCTCCTCCACCTCCCTCGTCTTCCTCCTCCACCTCCTCGTCTTCCTCCTCCTCCTCGTCTTCCTCCTCGTCTTCCTCCTCCACCTCCTCGTCTTCCTCCTCCACCTCCTCGTCTTCCTCCTCCTCCTCCCTCACTGTATCATGTTACACTACCACTTTTTCCTTACTTCCTCCTACCTTCACCTCCTCCTCCTCCCTCATTTCCTCCTCCTCTAACCTCACCTAACCCAACCTCACCTAACCTAACCTCACCTCACCTAACCCAACCTCACCTAACCCCTCATAAGTTAAGGTGTAGTGGTCACTCTACACACCCCTCCTCCTCAAGGTTCCCCACACCTTGCCGTGCCCATATCAACCACGCCTAAACCTGTCACGCCCATACCTACCACATCCACGCCCATACCTGGCACATACACGCCCACCACGCCCGCACCTACCTACAACGGTGATCACGGTACACAGTCACCACCTCCCCCTACACACACACGAGTGACGTCATCGGTGCCAGGTCTGTACGAGTGACGTCAGGAGTGTGGGCGTGGCAGGGAGTGACGTCGTGAGTGTGGGCGTGATAGGGAGTGACGTCGTGAGTGTGGGCGTGGTAGGGAGTGACGTCGTGGTTAACATGTAATGGTTAGGAAGGATAAGTGAAACGTTTAGAGCCGCCATTGTGTGCAGGCGAGGAGGTGCACCACACAATGACTAGTTAACCCCCATTCTTTCCTTCCCTCCTTCCCTCCCTCCCTCCTTCATTCCCTCCCTCCCTCCTTCCTTTCTTCCCTGCACTAACTCGAACATTCCCGGCGGTGTGTGTGTGATGTTGTTGTTTTTCAGCCAGTCTGTGAATTACTTGGGTTTTTTGATGGTGTAATAACCTAACTTAACCTAACCAATCTTAAACAAACACAAACCAAACATAAACCCAAAGCAAACCAAAATAAACCATAACCTAACCCGACCTTTCTCGATGATGTAATAACAAGCTGTGTCGGGGTAAAGAGGGGAGGGGGGAGGGGAGAAGGGGGAGGAGAGAGTGGAGAGGGGGGTGAAGGGGTAGATAATGACATCATATTTGTACCATTGAGCAACACCTGTCTCACCTTGCTGGGTCAGTTACTCTCACCTGCAGTGTTTTATACCTTAACCCAGGGGTGGGCAATTATTTTTGACGGAGGGCCACTTCATGAATGGTGGCACACTTCGCGGGCCACACACTTAATGTGTATTGCTGCTATGTCCACCCAACTTCCAAAATTTTCCTTTCTGTAATTAATAAGATTTTTTTTTTCTGATTGCCAAATGCACTGGCGGGCCACAGAAATAATTTGGCGGGCCAAATGTGGCCCGCAGGCCGTACTTTGCCCACCCCTGCCTTAACCTGTAGTGATCATTCTAACTTAACACAAAAATGACATTACTATATTTATGACACTGGGTATGACAAGTGGGTATGAATGTCACTACTTTATGACACAACACATGACAGTGGGTATGGGTGGCAATCGTGTGCGTGTGTGGTCAGCACGCTCGCCTCGCAAGCGAGCGGACCCGGGTTCGATCCCCGGGGAGGGTGAAACTATAGACAAGTTTCTTTACGCCATTTGCCTCCGTCTACCCAGCAGTAATTGGGAACCTGGATGTTAATAGATACTCAGATCGTGTTCCGGAGTAATGGTGAGCCAGCGCAGTTGGCGAGTTGTCCGGTCTTCTCGGACTATTCCTTGACACTGGGTTATGCAGCTCGTTAACTTAGGGTGTGGTTGTTGTGTTGGTGACAGCTTCTACACCTTAAACAAATTCACGCCTAAGTGGCCCTCGAGCCGGCCATCCTCGTTACCCGAGGGGTAACCATTATGTGTGGTTTAACTTACCTTTTACAGAGAGAGGCGGCTTTATCCCACGAGTGTCGGATATTGAAGAACCTATAACAGTGTTGACCTCGGAGCACCCAGTCTGTGGAGGAACAAACAAACACATCAGTTGTACATAACACCAGGAGGAACAAACAAACAAACAAACACATGAGTTATACAGACCAATCATAATTTATTGGTAAAAAATCTGTTTAACGGACTATATGGAGATGAAAATCCGTTATATCGAGGGTCCGTTAATTGTGAAATACCTATCTAACGAACTATAGATATGAAAGTCCGTTATATTGAGGGTCTTTTTGTTGTGAAACCCCCATATAACGGATTTTATATGGAAAGAAGTCAGCTAAGCATATCATAATACCTTAGGTGTTTGAGTACAACTTGTCTTTAGTTTTTGAGTACAGAGTCTCTAACCTCTTGAGTACGATAACATAATCCATCAAAGTACGATGTTTCTAGCTTCAGTGCGACTCCCTTATAAACTTCACGTACGATGTTTTGATCACTTGAATACAATGCCTTAACCCTCTGAGTACTATGACTTGACCTCTTTAAATGTCACCCCTCGAGTATCACAGTTTAACCCTTCCTGTGTACACCACTTCCTCACATTCAACACCCATCACCCTTTGTCAATAACCCGTTAACCCCTCAGCGTACGATACTCTCTGACCGACCCTTTGTGTACGATACTTTCACCCATTCATGCACGATAGTTCCCGCCTTCAAGTATGATCATCTTAACCCTTCTCGTACGCGACATAACAAAGTGTTGTAAATCTTGAATATAACACTTTCTTACACCAGTTGATGAGTCATAACAAGTCTATTCCTACATCCCAAAGAGACTCGGACAAGACAAACATCTCTTCGTCAGTACGAGAAATCAACAGTGCCTGGCGTTCCTCTCCATCAACTATACAGAGATAATTATGAAGACTAACCCCAGATGACTGTCTCTCCAGCAATTTACTTCAAGTGGCTCAATTTTTGTTTTTATTTACGATTTAATCACGACTCCAACGCTGACATCTCTCTTCAACATTCAGCCTCCATCTTAGCTCCGCCACCCGCTTCCTGACGTCTTAGCATGACTTACAGTAGGATGACTTGGAATGACAGAATGACTTAGAACGATTTGGGATGACTTAGAACACCTTAGAATGATTTAGAATGACTTAAGAGTGAGGAAGTTACTCAGCCAGATGACGTGACAGCCAAGACAAGAGGTTCAGTTTACACCGGGATGTCATAAGAACCCGAATAACACGAATGACAGCGAGAGAACATTAATAACACGAATGACAGCGAGAGGACACGCAGAACACATAAAGAACACGATAACACGAAGAACACGCTTACACTCTAGTTTGTATAGTGAGAACATAACTGTTTTGAATCCCAGAGAGAGAGAGAGAGAGGGGGGCAACTAGTTCACCAGAGTCACACTAGGCACCCAGAGAACACCATGTGACCCAAGCATCCTCTCTGACAACACCACCACGAGTTAGATCATCAAGTTAAAGACACTTTCCCACGCACAGTCACACCATTTGAAGTGACCACGAGACGGTCTCCATGAGTAGCAAGCAGCCTGCAGGTGACGGTGCTGAAGGTGACTGCTAGAGGAAGGGGGAGGGAGAGGGAGAGGTAACAGTCCCTTATGTATTTCTAAGGGAAAAAACTGGGGAAGAGGAAAACATTACTGGGGGGGGGAGAGGGAAATATAACAAGAGGGAAACAAAGACGAAACAACTCCAGCGAAAACCAATATCACAAAAAAAGATTGAATATAACACAAACACCAATAACAATAATAATAATAATAATAATAATAATAATAATAATAATAATAATAATAACTACAACAGGACAACAGAAGAGAGATGTTAAACAAGAACCACGGACACAAACAATAGATACTCACTCAAGAACAAGAGAAAAACAGAACATTAAAAACAAAAGCTACAATGATTTAAAGGACCCAATAATTGGATAAAAATAAAAGACGTCGCCTCAGTAACAAAGGTTCAGAGTTATGACGCCACAACACACCTTTAATTACCTGTATAACGATATTTTTTACCTGTAAGTTAATTTATTTGATGAGATATAATTAAATGTTGCTTTCAGTGAGCCAAGATGCTTTGTCATATAGCTGCCAAGTGTGTGTGTGTGTGTGTGTGTGTGTGTGTCATCGTCTCACAACAACAATAACAACAATAAACAACAACAACAATAAGCCCACATCTTTACAAATAAAAAATAAAACACATCCATTTATTTTAAGTTACATCCCCGTGTAGGAGCGAGAGATGGTGCGTCTCCTGTCCCTCCTACCTGGCTGAGAGTAACGGAGCAGGTGAGGGGTGAGGGGAGGGTGAGGGGGAGGATGAGGGTGAGGGGGAGGATGAGGGGTGAGGGGAGGGTGAGGTGGAGGATGAGGTGAGGGGGGAGGATGAGGTAAGGAGGAGGTGAGAGGGAAGGGTGAGGAAGAGAGGTGAGAGAGGGGGTAACTCGCCCAGGTGTAGATGACCAGCCGTGATAGGTCTACCTGCCGCCCCTCAACATTCCAACCCTTCGCCCGCTGCCCTAAATTACCCTACCTTCCCTAGCTCTGGAGGGAGGGAGGAGGAAGGAAGGGTAGGGTAGTGAGGAAAAGGGAGGAAGGGGGGTAGGGTAGGGAGGAAGGGGGGGTAGGGAGGAAGGGGGGTAGGGTAGGGAGGAGGGAAGGGGGAAGGGGTAGGGAGTGAAGGGGGGGGGTAGGGAGGAGGGGGGGGGAGGGAGGGAAGGGGGGGAGGGGTGGGAGCCTAGACATACGGAGGTGGAAGAGAAAGGGTAGTGAGGGAGTGGGTGGGTGGGTAGGTAGGTAATGGAGAGGAGCAGGAAGAGGGTAGGAGGAGTGAGGGGGAGGGTTAAGGATAATAAAAGAGACTGGGAGGGAGGGGATGGGAGAGGACTGTGGGTATAACAGAGTGTAGAGTCAGTAAGGTCTAGGGCGAGTGTACAGGAGGAACAACCCTATAGCCTAAGGTGACGCATTATGTCGCACACCCAAACCTACCCACCCACCTACACCCCTACACATACCAAAACACCCCTGTACACCCACCAAAACACCCATCTATCAGCCCCCCCCCCCATACACACTCAAAGTAAAGATCACGACGCAGGTGTGAGGTGATCGCTACAGTACAGGTGTGTGGACAGCATGTATAAAGATCGGTGTGGTGTTGACATCATACTGGAATTTAACAGGTTTAACACACCTGTAGAGCAGTGCTGGAGGGAAGGGGGGTGGAGGGTGTTGGAGGGATAGGGAGGTGGAGGGTGTTGGAGGGATGGCGGGATGGAGGGTGTTGGAGGGATGGGGAGGTGGAGGGTGTTGGAGGGATGGGGAGGTGGAGGGTGTTGGAGGGTGTTGGAGGGTAGTTGGGTATCAGAGCTACTGGGAGGTTGGAGGAGGACAGTGGAGGGTAGAGAAGGGTATTGGAGGGCAGGAGGAGGGTAGAGAGAGGCAGGGAGACACTTGCTAACCTTGGCAGGAGTGAACCCGACACACACACACACACCCACACCCCACCATCTTGTCATTTATATTATGATTGTCACTCTCACTACGCTCAAACACCTATAAATTATACAGCTGATAACCTTATATGTGTTCTAAAGATCTAAAACATTTGTTGGGTTTAACCAATTATAATATATATGTATTTTTATATGCATACGTGACCTTCATTTTTGTTGTCGAACGGACCAAGCTCTCGGCGGGAGGCTTCAATGGTCGTGTTTGTCGACTTTTTCAACGAATATGGTTTTAAATTGTTATTATTATCAAAACAAGTCCATTTCCAGGGAGTTTTCTTTATTCATTTGTTTATAATTCATGACAATCGATAATATCATTTGTTGTCATGTGAGAGAAAATAATAAAACATTAGGAAATCTATAGACGACAAGAATGTGGACTGACAAGCTAAACAAGTGAGCATCGCCCTAACCTTGAAGTATAATCCGACACTCCCGTTTATTATCCACGGTGGAACAACTGGCTCTCTAACGTCAGTGATATCAAACTCTTCTTAATCCAATCTACGTGTTGCCTAATCCCAAGTGACAGTAATCTTATCATAATTACAGAGCGTTTGTAATACAGTCTTATAATCAGATTCCATTCAGGTTATTGCTAGATATCATTTATTTCTTATTACACGCATGGGGACTCGCTTAAATGGGTATTTCCTCTAAATACGCCAATCAGTCACTTAGAACAATGATTGATAACTTACATATGGAATTATGAGTTCAGGATGTAAATTGCGCGAATCTATTAACTGAGTAATCAATCAATGTGGGAGTATAAGTTCCAGAAATAAGTGAAGCGGGATTATAAGTTCCAGAAATAGCAGAAGTGGGAATATAAGTTACAAAACAGGATCACGAGTCTCTAACACCAAACAATATGGCATTAAACACTCCAAAATCAAACACTGCGAGGCTCTAAGTTCAAAATCCAAATAAGAGATGTCGCTTTGGGCGTTGGGTGTCGTTACACCCAAGGTTGAGTTTCTTGCTTAAATAATGATTTTTTTTAAGGAGACAAGGAGACGCTGAAGTTTATAGATGAATTATTGGTGGAATACCGAGATGATTAGGAGGAGAATTTCGTGTATCTAAATTCATCGACGTTCAATTGTTTATACTGACGTAACGCTTCTTTTGGGAGGGAAATTTTCTCACAATCATCCCTGTCCATCAACGTATGTAAAGTCTCGTTAAGTATAAAGATATTTTCCGATCATAAGTTACTTGAGCCAAGAGTCTGTCAACATCAGTGGTTCAGCCTCGACATACAGTATTTAAACTGTATTTCAATTTCCGGCTCATGGAAGACGAGATAATTTGATGTTATATTAGAGAGTTAGATGTTGTCGCTGTTTTAACGGTGTTGCTCAATAAACCTTCACAACTTCCTGCGTTAAAAGAGCAACAATCTCAGTAACTGTATTGTAAAAGCCAAGATATTTCTTAAAATTCATACCGAGCCTCAGCACTAAGTTCTTACAGGGAATA